TTTTTTTTTTTTTTTTTAATGATATATTTTGAAATTTCAAAAAAGAAATTAAACAAGAAATAGTATCTTGTAAGAGACTCGATAACCTCAGTAAAATAAATGGGAAATTTTCTAGGAACGAGAAATAGAATTGGTGGCAAAGACGAGGACAAGAAAGTCTACCCGAGCCCTGGATTTAAATTTTGGATTCGACACATATATGCTCCCGACATTCCCTTGCATCCATACGATAAAGAAAACGTAGAAAAGAACATAAGAATGTCGAGGGCATTAGGTAAACATTTCAAAACAAGTAGACAACGTAGTCATATCACAGGGGAAGTAGAGAAACGCTACGAACATCAGTTCAGCACTTCAAGAAGAGTAGGTAACGTAGTCATGTCGTAGAAAAAAACATAAGAATATTGAAAACATCAAGTAAAAATTTCAAGACAAGTAGGCAATGTAGTCATATATCGCAGTGGAAGAACATCAGGTAAGTAAGCACTTCAAGAAGAGCAAGTAACATAGTCATGTCGAGAACATCAAGTACACGTTTTTGCTTCTCCTATAGTAGTTAACTATGAATGATCTCTAACTCTAATGACCGAGCTAGGTATATATGCTTACCAATCTTGTCTCGAGGGTGCGGGAGACTGCCTCACCATGCCCTATACAATTGTTTGTTTTGTTTGCCAAAGATTAGAACCAGAAAGGCATAACATTTTCTTTTGTCGCACATAACATTATTTTTGGATCCAACATCCTCCTTATTTCCATATGCTTTACGAACTTATAAGTAGAAATGTACACGGGATTAGGTCAGGTTAGAAAAATCTTTTGGACCAACACGAAGTTTCGGGTTGGTTGGGTTAGTGACTCGTAACTCGAATAGGATTCACAACCTAATTTAATGAAACTCTCTATTTTTAGATTAGGTTGTCCGGTTGTATCTGTTTTTTTTAACAAAAATTATACTTATCCAAATTTAAATATCAAACATTTACAAGTCAGACGCATCACTAACATCAATTACAAATGTTAAATATTTTTAATCTTAATTAGGGTAGAGTTGAGCGGTAACTCTATTTTTAGGTTTGTTGAGTTGACCCGATAAAAAAATGTCAACCCACCAGTCCAATTGGATTTTTTAAAAATTCAACCAAATTCAAACCGAAAAAAATCTACCCAACTCAAATTAGTTCATTAAGAGTTTCTAAATACCATGTCATTTTCATTCAACTTTCTTCAGACTTATCTTTCAATTTTATACATATCGACTCTGTGTGTAACGGCCCTAGTCCACCGCGAGCAGATATTGTCATTTTTGGGCTTTTACTTTTCGGACTTTCCCTCAAGGTTTTTAAAACGCATTTACTAGGGAGAGATTTCCAAACTCTATGAACGGTGTTTTGTTCTCCTCCCCAATCGATGTGGGATCTCAAATTCACCCCCTTCGAGACCCAGC